CCCTGCTCACTTGGGGGGCGCAGGCTCCCTTAGCGGCCACCCCCTCAGCACGGCGCCTCTCTTCAATCCCGTCCCTCAGCCGCTGAGGGAGCTGCAGGGCAAAGGCAAAGCTGCCATTTTCCCTATCCCCCCCGGCGAGGCTCACCACAGACCACCCAAAAATCGGATTTTTAAGCATAAACCCAACGTGATAGAGAGCTGTGGGCTTTCCCAGGCTGGCTGTGGGTTATGGCAAAGCCCGGTGGCGTGAGAGTGCGCGAGGCCTCGCGGGTCAGGGAGGGCACAGGTCACCCCGCTGCCGTGGTCCCCCGGGCACAAACGGGGCTTTGTGGCCAGGCCCCGAGAGTCCCCTACGCCCAGCAGCGAGAGTTGTCCCCATGGGAATGGCAGCCACGATGGAGGAACCCGCAGCCTGTGTGGGAGCTGCGGTTGCGCCATGCCTCAGGATGCGGATTGCTCACAAGGACAGAGCGTGTCCGAGCTGCTTCTCGCGGCCTCGAGGTTGCTCTGTCACCAGTGTTTCATTCCTACAGACCAGTTAGTTCAGCAGTTTCCCCTGATTGCTTCAGGGCACTGATAAAACACAACTCACCAGCAAGATTATGAAAACGCAAGTCACCAGTAAGATCAGTTGTGAAACCAGCATATGCTTCTTGGCATTTCCTTTTGAACTTACCGCTGCCATCACTCTTACCTTGTCCATTTCCCCCTCCTTTTTTTTTTTCATTTTTCCGTATTGTCTCCGCAAGAAAGAGTGAGTATGACCTTCTGGTAATTGGTGGAGGGTCTGGAGGCCTTGCTTGTGCAAAAGAAGGTTTGTATGCATAAATAGCTAACCAAAACTTTCTTTTAGCTTAATGTGTGCTTATGGAAACTGGGGGAAGCGGTACTAGTAGCGCTAAAACTTTCTATATAGCATACTTTGATCCATGTGCATTGATCATTAACTCCACCCTATAATCTACACGTTAGCTCACACCCTAGGTGGGGTGATCTTGTTTAACTTTCCTATTCTTCTTTTTTTTTTTTCTCTTTATATTTTCTCTATTGTCCCAGGAACTTTTAATAAGCCTTTACTTTGCTGTTGCTGTAAAATACTTTCCTCCTTAAATACCATGTTTTTATTATATCTTATACTTATTTATGTGTAAAGAAAACAGTCTAATAATACTGTATAACTTCTGTAGAGAACCTTACCCTTTGTGATTCTATTTAACACATTAAATAACCCCCCAAGGTTATTAAACAGTTTGAGGTGTACTTTAGGGTTGGCGGAAGGTGGAAGCTATTAGTCCAGGTTATCCAGTGCTCCCTGGAAGATCCACTGGCCACCTGGTATCTTATATTAGTGTAAGCCACCTACCATCATCTCCTATATTGCTGATCTGTGCCTGTGATACTAAAAAATTTAGGTTCATGTGTTTCTCCCTGCTCTAAATATATTTCTTGTTTCTTTATTTAAAGCTGCTCAGTTTGGAAGGAAAGTGGCTGTTTTGGATTATGTGGAACCTTCTCCGCAAGGTATGGAAGAGAAATAGTAGGATAATATTTTCATACACGAATTAGGTGATTGCCTAGGAGACCAGCTTGCTCCAGGCAGTCAAATGGCCAAAATCATGCTGTGTGCTTTGCAGGTGTGTAAGTCCTTAACTGCAGATTGCTATTACTGCTCCTTACCTCCAATAATGTCCCAGCTGTGCCTGCTTCCACCACACTTTAAGATTGTTAGGAATGTGTGATGTTACCATGTGTGGTAGATCTTGCACTTAAATGGATGGGAACACTAATCATCTTGTCTTTGTCAAAATAGCCTTTACTGTTGCTTAAGTGAATGAACCTTGTCATGGTGAAGCTTTACTTGTGCTGTATAAGATCTGACAATAAGCAAATAGGAACGTATAATGCTTGATTTTATGAGAAAACCTTAAGAAATCTTGAATTTTTGAAGGAAAAGATTTAGTTATGTTCTTCATCAGAACAAAATAATTGGAGTTAGAAACTGCTCTGTAGGAGATAGCAAACTGTGTGCTGTTACAGATTTTTTAACTAATTATATGAATAACCTGATTCCATTAATAACCCAACTGCATGAAGTTAAACTAACCTGTTCCATTAAATTCTTATTTTTGCTTTAATTCTTTTTTTTTTTTTTTTTTCCCTTTAGGAACCCAATGGGGACTTGGTGGAACCTGTGTGAATGTTGGCTGTATTCCTAAAAAGCTTATGCATCAAGCAGCCCTTTTAGGAAGTGCCCTTAAAGATGCCCAACACTATGGCTGGAATATATCCCAACCTGTTCAGCATACCTGGTAAAGAATATTGCCCCGTCTGCTCTTTTGTGCTGTGAGTGTATAAGAAAACTCTCTTCTGCTGCAGTTTTTTAAAAGAGAGTTAGGAAGATGAATTTCACATAAAGTTTTTTAGACAACTCTGTTTAAGTCTAATCTCTATTTACTAGTTTAATAGGGCACATTCTGTGTTGTTTTGAACTGGATATATATATATATATTTATAACAAGAACTATTGGAACATTATTAATTCTGGCTTGAGATGCATCTGAGATGGATTTTCTGAATTTGTAATGTGATGGTTTAATGTACAGTTTTTTTATTTTGTGATAGGTCTGTGATGGCGCAAGCTGTTCAGAATTATGTGAAGTCCTTGAACTGGGGCCACAGAGTACAACTACAAGACAAGTAAATAGGACTTTGAAATTCATCTTTCCCCCCATAATCAAAGAGTACTTCTCTTTGTACAGTTGCTGAATTGCCTTTGAAATTTCTTGTTGGAGCTAGACTTTTCAGTTTGTAAGTCTCTTGCTCTCAAGATTGTGGTCATCCTTGCCAGCATAAGTAACGTGATTTTTATTGTTGTTCTCCTTTTTCTTCACTGGGAAATAGTCCCTGAAAGTGACCATACATGAAGGTTGTCTATGAGCATAACGAGAGAGAATGCTTTGTTTAGTCTGGAGAGTTTCTTCATGAATATTAAATAGTCTGTGTTTCTCTTAAATTTATTTCAAACTTGTTCACCAGAGCTTACTTGCCAAACTAAGAAGCAGACAGACAGTGTTGTACTAAAATAGTTAATTTTTTTTGCGTGGTCTGTGTAGACATGGTTCCAATTTTTCGGCCTGCAGACCTTTGTCATGTTTGTTTGTGAATTGCCATGTTCCTTCTTTAGAGAAATGATGTTAATGGATAATTTAGTGGCTAAACGATTTTGTAACTTCTGTTGATTAGAACAAATCTTAGAGATGGTTTTTGTACGTTGTCAAATGAGCATTATAACCAAACGATAATGCTGTGCATACATGGGGATCTATGGATGTGGGACATCTATCATTTGAAGAGGTCAGTAAGCTGATCTCAGAAGGTGTTGCAAGGTTGGGTAGGTACTATCTCTGCTGTATAAAGGAGTGAACAGTGACACAAGAATTAAGTGACCTAAATTATGTGGCAGAGCAAAAAACAATCTTATAAAATGAGGTTGTTCCTTCTTTTGCTTAGTTGCTATCCTTGTTAGCCCTTCAAATATGAAAAGACTAGTTGATTCAGTTTTATTCCTATTCATTCCCGTTAAATGTGCATATATGGTGCTGCTTTCTCCTAAACAGGAAGGTGAAATATTTCAACATCAAGGGGAGTTTTTCAGATCCACATACAATCCGTGGCTTAACAAAAGCGGGTAAAGAGGTGAGCTGCTTTACTGATTTCTGCACCTTCACTTTAGACAGTTCAGGTCTTTATGTATCAGTTAAGGATGCAAGAAACTTCTTTACTGTTTTGCTTTATAACCAGCCTTCCTTAATGTACTGCTGAACAGTGAATCAGGTCAATAGCAGAGGTTAATGCTAACTTTCTCACTTATCACTTTATCTTGTACATAACTAAAATCCAAAGGCAGGTGGAAGGATTTCAAATGCTTCATTCTGAGTGTGCATTTTTGTTTGTAGATTGTTATTACTGCAGAGAAAATTGTCATTGCTACTGGAGGAAGACCAAAATATCCTACGCATGTAAGTTGTGCTTGCTATTTGACAACTTCAATTTGTTACAGATAATAATGTATGTTTGGAGGATTAAAAAAAATGAAAAACATAAAGTAACATGATTAATAAATAGCTTTTTGTTGTACTTTGCTGTACAAGGTTTTACCTGTCTGTCTATAGATTGCAGGTGCACTGGAATATGGAATCACAAGTGATGATCTGTTTTGGCTAAAAGAATCTCCTGGGAAAACGTAAGCTATATCACTGTGGCTTTAATAGGTGCTGGTGGTCATACTTTTTCATTACGTTGTGTGCCACATTCATACACCACTTTCTCTTCTTCCGTTTTACATGTGAGAGTTTGTTTTGCTACATGTCAGCATTGATATACCAGCCTTCATAAGTAAATAATATAGAGTGTTTTGGTGTAAATATTTTCTTCTAAATTTCTAAAGTAAATTAGAATTTTTCACCCTTTTAGGTTAAGGTAACTTGTTTGCTGTAGCAGTTATGTATGGAAGTCGCAAGAGGGCAGCATACACTTAAATGAAGGCTATGGTGTTCCTATTTGCTGTGGAATTCTTAATTAGGAAAAAAAAAGTCCAATATAATTTTATTTATGTTCTCTTACGTGGTAATACTTTTGATAAGAAAGACAAATATGATAAGACAGTAGAGTGATCTTTACCATTCTTTTGTGCTTTGTAAGCTATTGTCGAAATATATATATTTAATGGAAATACTAAAATGCCATGGTTTGTTCTGTTTTGTACAGTATCTATCACATTAAGATTATGAGTCAGCATTACACTGCATAGCAATTTCTTGGTGTGAATAATTGCTCTAGGAAATGCACAGATGCATGAAAGTCAGATACTATAGTTTTTACTTTATTGAGCAGCTTTAGCAGAGGTAAGATGTTATTAGAAAGAGAGGCTTGTAACCAACATAATCATGGTATTTTGAAAAAGATAGAGCTGCCATTCATAGCTGTGACTTTCAAATGTAGAAATGCTGTGTGTGTTAAGCTAAACATCAAATAGATAAATAGGGCTCCTTAGCACAGTTTAGAAAGAAAACTAAATCTGCGATGTTTGTAGTGTATCAGTTACCTATTAAATACTGAGAGCATGACTTATGTGAGGAAATCAGGTTTTGAGATGTTTTTCACTTTTTTTTTTTTTTCAAGTCTAAACACAAGATTTTTCCCTGTAAGATGTTGCTGTAAAAATGTGGCTTTTGTCCAGTTGCTGCTAATGCAAGTTGTAACAGTGTAATGTGGGAGTCTAGTGTTTATATGTTGCATTCCTAAGCTTTAGTCAAAATAAGCCTTGAGGGGCTACAGTAGCATTTCTGTGCTTTATCAAACTGTGTCTTAGCAAATGAAGGAGGGAGTTGTTAAAGGTTTATTTCTGTCAGATTTGTATCAATTATAAATATTCAGTTTAGTTCCTTTTGTTGTAGTCTGAACTGTTCTACGTTTTTCTCCAAAAAGGTGTGTATATATATAAAAATGTATATATACTGCTATAAACTTCATGACTAGAGGGTACAGAACTGTCAGTCCTGCAGTTATTCATCTAAAGGAGTTTTTTTTTAAAAAAAAAAAAAAAAAAAAGGGGGGAAAACCGTTAGCCAGCAAACCTGAGAGTTGAAAAGAGACCCCTGGCTATGTAAACACTACGAAGAAATTCTCACTACTGGAATGAAGGATCCTAGCAGCATGAGTTAGAAAAGATGCTTTTAAATTTGTTCAGAATGAGTGAGAGACTGAGCAGGCGTGAAGAAGGTTAGGATATGCCTTCTAAACTTTGCTGTTAGATACTGATGAAGCCCAAGCACCGTCTAGTTTGTAGGAGAAATTGCAAATAATGTGCTGATGGTGTTATGAAAGGATGCCAACTGGCATCTATTTTTCATTTAAAGATAAAAAGAGCAAACATACCCAAATTACATAAATTATCATTCTCTTCCCTATGAATGTTTCTTTATGGGCGAAGTGTGGGAGTGTTTTTGTTTGTTTGTTTTTCTCCAGTGCTTCCGAGGAGCTATATGTTAAAAGAAAGGAAGATTTTCTTTCTCTGTGCGTTTACAGATAAATCAGATGCCCAAAAGCTGGGAAAATGTTATAATGAGTGGCATCTCTGAGGCTAACCCAGCTGCAGCCCAAACCTCTACCTTTTGAAAGTTGAAAAGAATCTCTCTTAGGTTTGGGATATGATGCAAATAGTTTAGGGTTAGGTGTACGCTGAAAGCCAGTTTCACCTAGTGCTCTGTTCTGCTGGCCTAGCATTAAAAAAAAAGAGTGCTACTTCCAAGCACTGGACTTGTTTCTTCCTAGCAGTATTGTGAAATAATAACTTTCTTAGGGATATATGTCATGCCAGTGGCAAGGTGAAAAAGAAGCCAGATTTCCTGTGTATGGAGTACATTATATCTCCTTGTGTTGTTTTTCAGTAGCAATACATGCTCATGTATAAAGTATTTAAGTTTTTAAGGCTCTTCTTGTCTTTTTATGAACAGTGTATCTGTCCTTTGAAGCATGTAAACTAGTAGATTTTCTAGGGACAGAATGGAGGGGATAGTTTTTGCTCTTAAAATCTATTATATTCTAAAGTGAAGTTACCTCCTTATGAAATGTTTCCAATACGCATTATACTTTTTTTTTTTTTTTTTTTTTAAGTTAGAGGATTTAAGTTACTTGTATTTTGAACAGCTTGAATCTGCCTTAATATTAATCCATTTGATACTGAAATTGGCAGCAGGAGAACTTCTTGAGGATATCTGTTCTCTAGAAGTGATCTTTGAGTAACGCAGTCATAACTGAAAGATGAGGAAATGTTTCATTCCGTGAGGAAGGCTTGAGAAAGTCAAGTTTGTCACTCTGCATTCAGTCCAGGTGGCTTGGAAGAGCTGAGGGTAATTAATAACCAAAGTGGAGGAGAATCTTTCTTGAAGATGCAGCCCACCCAGGTGCCACTGCAAATTCTTAAATTTTCCCCACTAACAACAGCAAATCCACTGCTCAAACCTATGATCTTGTAACAATGCATAATTCAGAAAATAAGCTGTGCAAAAATATGTATAAGTTCACTCCCAGGTTGGTTGTTGGAGCCAGTTGTATCCTTTAAAAAGCTGTAATGATGATTTATGATTTTAAGCAGTATAGTTGTCATTTTATAAAAGCTTCATTTTCTGAATTCCTTTGCTCATGCCCTGTATTTAAGCTGGTAACATACAGGAATAGTTTTATGTTCAGTATCATCATGGGAATTGAGGTCAGCTGAGGATGAATCTGAGGGCCTTAAACCCAATACAATCTATGAGGAAAATATTCTAAGCCTATGGTTCTTTATAGAATAGACACCAAAGCCTACTGAAGGTGTTGTCTTCCTGAGGAGAACTTCATTTCTCTAGGAAGAGAGGCTGCTTGTGTACTTAATTTCTATTGCATTTGTGTGAAGACGTTGTTTGTATTTCTTTAACTGATATTTCACCAGATGTTTCACTTGAGTGTGCTGGTTTTCTAACGGGCATTGGATTAGATACCACAGTCATGATAAGAAGTATTCCACTTCGTGGGTTTGATCAGGTCAGTACAAAACATGTTACATTTCCATATATAAATGAATGTTTGTTTATTTTTAATTCTTAATTGCAGTAGTGCTAAATATTTACAGGCCAAAGTTGAAGAAAGAGGAATAAAGCTGTGGGCTTGTTTTTAAGAGCTGTTTTGCACATTGGCTGTAAGAAATCTGTTTTTAAAGTGTAACAACACAGTATGTGCTTTGTTAGTCAATTTAAGATAGGTCCTCCCAAACTCCTGTTTTGAGGAGGGAGTGCTACTGATAGCAGCAGCAGTGACAAGTGCCACTGTGGATAGTGACAGCTTCTGATTGCATTCCAGTCACTGTCACTTTGAAGTGGCTTCCTTAAAACTAGTGGTATGTGTACTGGAGTTTGTGAAACCCTGTACAGGAATGTGGCTTAGGATTTGCTCTCATCTTTGAAGCAATCTGCACCTGTAACAGCATGAGATCTAAGCAAGCAGAGAACAGTGGGTTAAGAGTGTTTATGGTGCTTCATGAAACCCTTAAAAGTAGGGCTTTCTCCAAGAACATGATTTCCAAGAGCTTGCAGGTGGGAAAAGCACGTTGGGAAGCTCTAACTTAAGAGGAAATAGAGATAAAATAATTATATTCAGGCTGTGAGAAAGTCTAGTGGAAAATGATGAGTGAGATGCAGTGTTTCAGAAGAGAAATAATGCTGTTGCTTTCATATTACATAATCACAACTTTGAATATAAAGATTTGTAAGCCAGAGCTTGCATGTGTGTTTTGTTTTTTTTTTTTTGTGTGTGTGTGTGTGTGTGAGTTTTATGATAATAGCTTTTAAGCAATAAAGATATCCTGTGACAAAGTGCAACGTGAATTACTACAATCAGGAGCAACGACATCTTTGGATAAACCTGTCAATATTTATGATAATAGCTTTTAAGCAATAAACATATCCTGTGACAAAGTGCAACCTGAATTACTACAATCAGGAGCAATGACATCTTTGGATAAACCTGTCAATGCGACACTTCACTACTTGTCTGCGGTGTGGCATTATTTCAAACAGGCTCTTAGGACAAAAGTGTTATTTCCTTTTGTAGTAGAACTTTCAAGGAAATCTTAGTGAATCATGCTCTTTGCAGTGGAATGACAGGTGTCATGGCAAAGGGAAGTATTTTTTTTTTCCTTAGCTTTACAAAAGTGCTTGATTCCCTTCAAGCTGCCAGAAATTGGTGCTTATAGCAATGTTAACTTGACCTTGCTCTCCATGCTATTTTTGCATAAGCATCAAGTTATGTAAAAGCAACCTTGTTATTCTTCTGATTTTCTATCTTTTTGAAAAAAAAAATTGAATGTTCCCAGGATACAGGTAGATATCTTTAGCAAGGGTGGAGTTGCAGGTCTCAGATACCCAGGAGCTCAACAAATCACACTGTGTACAATGCAACAGTAACTACATGACACAATGTTTGGAATGCAGGACGTATTTAATGGGTTTTCATGAAGGAGGGATTTGCATTAGAAAGACCATATATCTAAGTTTAAACACCCTTTTTTTTTTTTTTCCCCCTACTGAACAGCAAATGTCTTCTTTAGTAGCCGAGCACATGGAATCTTATGGCACAAAATTTTTAAAGAAATGTATCCCAACTAAAGTGGAAAAACTGGAGAGCAACAAATTACAAGTCACCTGGAAAAATACTGACTTGGGCACAGAAGAATCAGATTCCTTTGACACAGTGATGTGGGCAGTAGGTAAACTTGATTATTTTAATGTTCTTTTAACAGTATAAGTTGTAGAAAGAACTTATAACTGATCACACTTATCATAACCAAATACACTAGTGCTTGTCTAGAGTGAAGAAAGGTTATACTGGCTGGAGCTGTGACAATCAAAAAATGCAGAAAAATATTAATGGGATGAGAATGAATTCAAGCGCTTCAAAACTGTGGATCTCTAATTGCAATATCTGATATTCCTCAAACTATCGGGTAAAAATGTACTCTGATACGGAGTCACGCCTGTGAAATTTCAAGTCATTTTGTTTACTTTTGTCAAAGATGGAAATACGAGATGTTAAGTTGAAATAATACAAAAAAAACACCTTGTTTAATAAGGTTGAATGATATTCTGTTGTGAGTCTGTTGTATTGTGATGCTTTGCACTACTTGGATGTGCAGAACAGCACATTATAATTTTTGTCATAGATTGGAGCTAAACTCCATATTCAAAAACTCCAAAACGAAAGGTTTGAGTTTTTCTTTTTTCTTTTCTTTTTTTTTCTCTCCCAGTGCTCAAATTTGTGCTCCACCTTTAAGAATTAAACACATTAACAGTTAAAGCTGGTTAACTGATGTGCACTCCACATGATTCATTGTTTTTCTCTGTATCAACACACCCACACCAGGTGTCTCAGATAATAGACTGGGAAACTTGGTAGTGTTGAGGATTTCCTGTCTGCAGATGTGCCAATTACAATGCTGATTGAAGAAAGTCAGCTTGTAGAACTAGTTAGAAAGCAGCCACTCTTGTTAACTAATTATAGCCTGAATCGTGATGGATATTTCCTTGATTTTTGTAAATGCATCGTGGCTTTTAGTGGGATTTTATTAGGATGAGTAGGATTTTATGACGAATGTTAAAATTGTTTACTGACAGTGCAGCAGAGTTACATTTAAAGGTTTCAATGCAACCCTTTATAGTTAACTTACTGACTAACCCTTAGTTACTCAGAGGTCTGTGTTACCTTGCTGAGTGGCTGTGCTCTGTTCTGTTTCCATATCACTGAAACAGATCTTTCCTGATATTTGATTTTTGTCTGACCTACCCTTTAGTGTACCATGACTTCTGCTTGTGTGGGAAATATCCTGAATTGATAAACTTTCAAGATTTTTTTTTGCAAAGTGCAAAAGCAGTAAACTTTTAATGTATTCCCTGTGCTCTTAAGGACTCAAAAGAGTTTCCGTGATAGACATCCAATGCACCTGAGCTACAAAGCAATAGAAGTGGGAAATCCGTGCATGGACAGACTGAGTATAGAGCCTTCATCCAAAGAAAAGGGTAGAGTTTCACACTTTATAAATAGATGCAACTGCTGATCTGTGAGTCAAAATTGCAGCAGATCAAGCTTTATATACAGAAATTGCCTCACTTATCAGAGGGCTGGAACTGTGGATTGAATGTTGCAGCTGCAGTACAGCTAATATGTAACAGGAACTGACAAGTAGTATTTCCATTTGAAATTGCAGTAGATGACAAAACATTACTGTTGTAACTGGAATTTGTCCAGGTAATTCACAGAGTCCTTGAAAAGATATTTAATTACCTCATATCTGATTGGGTCTTGCTGTGTGGAGGAGCAACACTGAATTGATGATTAAGCTAGGCAGGTGTTTATAAAATATCCTAAATTAAATTGGCAGAGAAAGTAGCATGGTGTGCTAGTAAATTTTTAATAAATTTAAGAACCATGAGGAGCAGCAGATTTAAAGTTTGGCTTTATAAATTAAACTTGTCTCCTTGATGAAAGCCCTGGAACAACCATTCCCAAGTTGATATGCATTCACAGGCTTAGAGGAAGCCACTGTGCTTTTGAAATAGTGTCATTTTTTGCTGTAAAAAGAAATTATGTGTTAACTCTATGCAAAGATGAAATAGTATCAGGTTCCACATCCTATGCTATTAAGAACATTGCATGTGTGTCACACTGGATGCTTAGCAGATTTATTTTGTAGTGCAGTAAAATAAGATCATCGTTCAATATCAAGGGTTAAGCATATAACATTTTTATGCTATTTTTCTTCAAATCTTACAACCAAATCAGTTTGAATTAACTAAGAAAACAGAAATTTTGCTTGGAGATTTTCTTTGAAAAGTCCCATATGGTGAAATATTGCTGATACCTCCTGTGAGTGCAACTCTGGCAGCCCCTACAGAAAGGGGATAAGCTTTAGATTCCTCTTTGAGCAAATTCTGCCATCCAGCTTTTAACCTTTGGACTGGTCAGTAGAAAATAATGCACCTTGTTTGATCTCAGAAAACTATTAGTGTTAATGTGATTTGGTTTGCTTACACTGACTCTTTCTTCTGAACTCCCCCTATGTCTCTTTCTCAATATTTTAAATTCATGACTCTTAGAATAGTGTGGTTCCTGGATTCCTCATGAAAATTGCCACTCTGATTACAGCAGCCAGTGCTTTTAGCTTTTCTTCCCTAGTGTCTTGTTTTGATGATATTCAGCTAGATTTAAATGACACCATTTTTAATGGTTCAGTAATTTGTTTGCTTTTAAAGGGACTTGAGCGGTAAATGTGGCTTCTGTCCTTTAACTCCCTCACAAACTTTGAATCTTTTGTTCTACTTATATTACTATCTCTTGATTACCAAAATCATTCCTTCGTGTTTTATTTTATTTATTCATTTTATTTTTTATTTTATGTTTTATTTATTTACTTACTTTTATTATGTTTTGGAATTTGAACTATCAGATGACATAAATCTGATAAGGAATGGGTGGCCTCTAATTTAAGAACCTAGAGGTTGGTATAAATAAATTAAAAAAAAAAGCCTGGTGGAAAATGCTCCCAAGCAATTTCCTGGGACCAGTGAAGTTAGTGTGACATTTTCTGCAAGCTCTGAACAGGTTCTCTTCACCCCTAAGTATATTGGAGGTTTAAGGCGATGATCATGTTTGGTAGTGGGTCATGGGTACTAGTTTTTGACACTGCCGAAACAGCCATTAGGGACACACAAAACCCTTGGTTACAGCAAATAACCTGGGAGGATTAATGAAAAGAGAAATGTCACTTCCCTCTCAGAAAGTGCCTCTAAGTCACTTTACCTTGCAAGGGACCTTGAAAGGCAAACTACAGTCGATGGAAGTCTGTCCTGCGCCGTAAGGTTTGCATTTGTTTACACAGCATTTGGAGCTGCTCTGCTCTTTCCCAGTTCCAGCAGGACCAAAGTGACAGTTCCCTGGCTTTTTGTCTAAATATGTGGATGACTTTGGATATACAATGGACGGTGATGCCAGGATGAGCAACCACAAGCTCCCTGCTAAGGCTACTCTTCTGAATAACCAGTGTAACTAACCGATGCTATGAGAAGCAGTGCAGCCTCGTAGAGGTAGCAAAGAACTGGTTACTGCCCTGACACTGATTAAGGGTCAGATCTTTTTTTTTTTCAATCATGCTGACATGCCAAGACACATTTATTTATTTATTTATTTATTTATTTTAGTTAAACTGAATTGCTCCTTGTGGCTGTAATCAGCTGGCTCGGTTTGTGTGAACAGCTTGTGGGTTTTGAGGAGAGACTTGGAAGACAAAGAGGTGTTAAAACTGATTTTGGAGAGTGTTCGACCCCAGAACAAGGTAGCATAAAGAACCAACACTCTGGGCAAACAGATGAGCCTTTGATCAAGGTCAACCTGAGATGACAGATTGGGTTAGAAGGAATGATGTGCTGGATTAAAATGCAAAGGTATAAGGAAGACTTGGAGAAGATGCTGAACTTAGGTTTTGTGCTGGAATAACCATCCTGCCACCCTGCAGAGTGCTCACAGTGGCTTCTCAGCTTCAGGCACTGACCTGTCCGAGCTTGGCTGGCTCTGCTTTGGATTTTTCAAATGCTGGGGAGCAAACAGACCACTCCAGTTTCTGTGATTAAGAAGCCGCAAAAGACCCATTATAGAACTCTGCAGAGCTGCTGTCAGCTGTGTCTTTATCACCCTGGGAAATCTTACTGTACGCAGGAGTATGCCATCCCTGCTTTACTGCTGCTGCATATTTACTTGGCTACGCAGCTCCTTTGGCTTCTTCTCATTTTAGCCGCTTTGCTCTCACTGCTGCAGGTCCCGCACCCGAAGTCTCACTGGTCCCAGCAGCCAGGAGCTGCACCTGCCCGGCCCTGTGCAGAGACCTGATTCTGAGGCACGGTCAGCAGGGACCGCGTTGCAGTTGGACCTGGTGCATTTCTGAGATATGTGCTTTATCCAGCCTCTTGTTGCTCTCTGGAGCCAGGCGGGTTGATGAGCTCCTCAGTGAGCCATCTTGCTGGGTTACACAACATCAGGTCAAAACGTTGCCCCTTTTTTTTTTCTTTTTCTTCTAAAGTCTAAAGTGAATGGGGACAGGCCCTGAGAACAGAGGTCTGTGAGGTTTTCCGAGTTGTGCAGTTAGTGTATTAGTCTCTCAAAGATGGGTTATGGTGTATTATAAAAATACAAGAGTCATGTAATCTTTTAAAGGGTGAGGTTTGATTTTGCATCTTTTTTCCTAGATGTCTGGCATAACACCTTGCTGTTTTGAATGAAAGCTAAAGCTAGTCGCATGTTTCCTTGTCTTTTATGTTTCAAGGCAGTTGAGCATCTTCAGACTAGAAGCACATGTGCTGACCTCTAAAAAAGGCCATCCCTCTTTTGTGCCTGGTAGCATTTGGGCTTGTTTTGTATTGCCCATTGGATCTTAGGAAGAAGCTATAAACTTGTCCTTTCTTAAAGCTGTAGATATTGAAATAAATATCCTTCCCATCCAGTGCTACTAAGAAATAGTAGCAACTGATTCTGTAAGACAAGTAAGTGGATGTTGGGAAATATCAGGATTTCCTGAGTTTGGCATTAAAACTTACCAAGCCGCTTCCTCTATTCATAAAGCTAAGCTGGTGAATTGGATGTGAAGCAAGATGAGTAAGTGTAATTCTAGTTTATGGAAGTGAGCCAGATGAAGCCAAGGGCCAATAAGGTTTCAGCTAAGTTTTTAATGTTTTATTATTGCTTTCAGAAATAATATTTAGGCAGTGAAGCTGTGAGAGAAGCTTCATTATGAGTAGCAAGCTTTTTTTTTTTTTTTTTTTTTTTTTTTTGTAACTCTTGGCTATTAATATCAAACTGTGCACATGTTAAAATAGATTGGAATCGAAAGGTTAAGTGTTATCCTGCAGATTTGATAAACTCAACCCTTGTTGTTGTCACAGCTCTTTAAATGACTCTATTGACAGTTTTTCTTTTTTCTTTTTCTTTTTTTTTTTCTTTTTCAGTGCCTGCCATTGCGTGCTAAGCTCTCTCTTGGCTCTGCCTGGCAGGAAAAAGGGGAAACTAGAAAACCCCATTAGCTGTCCATTTGCAGAATATCCAGGCTTTACTCTCAATACACAAAGAAATACAACGGTAGGAAGTTGTTTCACATCCGAGCCAAGATAAGGTCCTGGAGGTTTATTATTTTTGTTGCCTGATAGCATCAGGACTGGGGAGCAGGGGGCAGAGAAGGAACAGCAGATCAATATCCCATGGGGGCAACAGAAGGGAAGACAGACAGATAGCCAAGTGCCGACAGCTTCAGTCAGTGCTCCCAGAGGAAGTGTTGGTTTCACCAGATGAAATTAATACACAGAAGTCTTTACAGAGGCATTCAGATGTGACATTGTTTGGGGGGCCTGGCTATATGGCAGATGTATAAAGCAGTGAATCATATGTTTACATATAATTAGATCTGTATTGACAAGCCAGGTTTTCCTTTTGTTTAATAATTTCCTACATTAACATCAAAGAACTTGTTTTTGTAATGAAAACACATTTCCCTTTTTGGTTTGCTTTGCTGTAAGTTCTGTATTAACATCAAACACAAAATCACAACTCCCACACAAAGGGCAGGAATATATCCATTTATAGCCTCTGGATTGCAAATCTTCTTTAGTTTGGACATATTTGGGTAATCTGTTCTATGTGACCCTGTATGTCCTTACAAACTCTTCGAGTACCTGATGAATGGGGAGTGTGCATTAACTTTCAGATGCATTTGAAAAATTGGATAGGATTTAATGCTCCAGTCCAGTGTCAGGACCTGTTGTGCAATTAACTGTACAGAAGCTCAGTGTAGCATTAGCAAAATTTTGATGATCTTAATATTTTTGGCTTAGAGTTACCACTATAAAAGTATTTTTAAAGATATATAGTTTAATTTGAAATTGAGGATGAAATGCTATGGAAGAGGTGGAGTTTAAAATCTTTGAAATTTGGAAGCCGTAACAAAATCTAGGCTCAACAGAATTGGCCTCATTCATCTTGAAATCCAGTGAAAGTAATAGTTTTAAATTCTAACAACTGCTTGAACATTGTTTGATCTAAACATCCAGCATTAAGGACATTAGAGCAAAACTGATAAAACTTTATTGCGCAAACTGAGGGGACTAAAAAAGAGTTGTTAAATAAGGGTATAAAATAAAAAGAAAAGAAGACTTTAGGAATGTTTAATGTTGGAGAGCATTGCTAATAATCTGTGTCCACAAGTGTGCCCAGCAGACTGTTCATCAGTGTTGAGCACCTCTCAGTGCTTATTGGTAGTGTTCATTATAGAAGTTGCTTATTTGCTTGTTTTATATATAAATATAAATATATAAAACAAGCAAATATATACACACACACACACACACACACACACGTAATTGTGTTGTCTACAAACCAAATTTAAAATGTGGTAAATATTAAACCAACTGGCTTTTGCATGTTTTGCAATGGATGAAAAATTCACATTTTTAAATGATACCTTTCTTCTAAGTAGTCTAAGCAAAGGCAGTGATAATAGAGCTCCTTTCACAAAGGAATTCATATCCGTACTTTCCACCTTTACAAGTTTTTCACCATCAATTTGTTTTCTTTCTACTTGGACCATCAAATTGCATGACAGGCTTGGAAATCTGTGATGAGAAGTGCCAGCTTTTTAGATCATCTCTGCCAAAGTTTTCAAATAGGTTATACATTAATGTCCTTTTTTTTCCTTAGGCCGAGTCCCTGATACGAAAACTCTCAATTTGGAAACAGTTGGCGTGAAAACTAATCCTGAAACTGGAAAGATCATTGTTGATGCCAGCGAAGCTACTTCTGTTCCTCACATTTATGCAATTGGGGACATAACAGAGGTACTGAGTCTACATAAACTATTTTACAATAACAGGAAGCCAACTTTGTTCCTGACTAATAACTAGTCCCCAGATGTCGTCATGCTGTAACATATATATTAGTGTTTTGCTCTTTTTCGTTTTTGTAGAGCTGTAGTGCTTATGCCAGCCACCTGGGTCAGTAATTTCCTTCACATGATTTTTGTGAAGTACCTCAGCATTAGAGATTATTACTGATGCTTATCAGGCAAGCATCATTGGTCAGAGACTAATAATAATGTCTTTATCACTTTAATTATCTTTGTAATAATGTTTTTATCACTTCAAACATATGACTTCATGCTGCCTGTGAATACTGAATGAAAGTAGATTTTTAGCTTCTGGAGTTGAGCACATTTACTGAGAATGACCAGCCTGTAAATGGTTTGTGAGTTGGATATTAATTGTGATTAAAACATCAGTCCTGTTTCCTGGTAGAAAATGTTTCTGATAAAGGTGTGCACCACCAGGAAAAAAAAAAAAAAAAAGGAACTCTCCAGATACTTAATGCATTTAAATTCTATTCATGATTTGTGAATGTTTATATCACATACATAATAATGAGTACTTAAAGAAAACAAACCCCATTATTAGCTTGAGCAAAACGTTTGTCTTGTTCTTGTTATAGATGCAAAACCAGAATTCTGTGGTCTTAATTTAATTCTGTTGATAGTCCAGAAAGTTATCTGTGACAAGAATCTCTTCTTCTGCTCAAAATATGCAGAGATACTTACAGTCGCTTACAGAAAAGAATGCCTACTGTGTTTATTTCAATCTGGGCCTCTTGAAATATGTTGTCTTCATAAAATACATGGTATGACTGGATTGCAAACCATACACAATGTATGGCTGGATTGCAAACCATACACTACAGTGCAAAAAGTGCCTATCCCTTACACTTAAGATTGGTTTTGATATGATGGAGATATCTTTTAATATGTTTAGAAATCTAAATACTATAATGATAATCAAAGCCCATACATGTTATATTTTGAAGGACCTTTAAAAGGTTTGTCATTCTGCCAAGATTAAGACCTACAGGTGCCCTGATTTTTTGAAGAGATGTAACAGGTTGCGTGATGTGTTGGGAACAGCCCTGCAAATTCCTGACTGGACTCCAGAGTCAGAGACACTTAGATCTCAGAAATCTGCTGACCGCTCCTGACCTCTTCCTCTGGATCGAGGCATGTGTTTCTTCCTGTCTGTCTCCATCTTCACGTGAATGACTTGTCATTTCCTTTTTAACTGTGTTAAAACTCTTTCCTGCTTGGCTATTTCTCTTTTTTTCATTGCTCTCCACTGCTTTTCTGTCTTGTCTGGTCACTCAGAGCCTCAGGATTATGTACAGATCCTCTCTTCTCCATCCACATGGAGGTTTCACAGGTTTCTGTCACTTTGTGCTCTGGGCTGTTTCCTCAAGTTCTCTTTCTACTCACAATCCCCTCCTACCCCAGCTCAGCTCTGCTATATGCCTTGGACAGGCCTCCTGCTTTCCACACTTTTCTTTTTAATTTCATCCAAGCGGCAGTCGTTAGAGGCAATGTTGGCAAGGCTGTAGATTCTGTTGCTCATTCTGCTGCCAATCTGCAGTGTTATTCTGAGCAAGTCATTTCCTTTTGGATGCTTTTTGTTTTCTGCCCTTTGAGGGTTTAGTTAAGTAAGAAATATAAAGTTGGAAGCAGGATGCTCTTCTCTTTCCTACCCTAGATCTGAAAAGTCAGGTCTTCACTTACTGGTTATTTTCATTTCCTTGTTAAACCTTCAGTTTCCTTTTCCTGCTTTTGTCCATGCTAGCTCAGATTTTCAATCTGGAACTGTGTAGTAGGGGCTTCTAAATGTACTGGTAAAACACAGTTTTACACTCTGTGCAAAGTACAACTGGGAAAAAGTGGAGAATTAATGTGTGCCTTGTAGAAATATTCTCTTAAGCTTATACTTGTGTGTCTTCTCAGTGCTTTGGAATAGGGAATTAATTAATTTAGATAAGAAATCTCAGTGATATGGGAACCAGCAGTGAAACAAGGTTCACAGTGTAGTTGCTGTTGGTGCACATCTCAGCAGAATGCACTTGTTTCTTCTTTGTGCATTCTTTGAGAACCCCCAAGCTGTGCAATTTGGTGTGTGAGGTTCCTGCAGACACCTGGCAGGAAGGGAGAATCTTCCTTCCTGCAGATGAGCCTAATATTGCCTATAAAAATAGGATTTTGTCTCCACTATTTCCACTATTCCTGTTCAGGTCTTTTTTTTTTTTTTTTTTTTTGCTGTTCCTGTTTCTTTGGTACCATAGGATGTTCCTCATAGTTTATACATTTGCAAGTAACTGTCAATTCCCCTCTCTCCCTCTTCCCCTTGCTGCAGTGTGTAGACACTAACTTGCTCTCAAATAGCAAAAGAATCTTTTTAATTCAGTGCCCTGGGGAGGAGAGGAGGGTGTTTGCTGACATGTTCAGAATGAGTGTTTTCATTTGGGAGTCTTACCCAGCTGGCATAAATGGAAAACTATGTGTGCATGGGTGTCTTGTTGCATCCTCGTATAGGCAATGAAATCCTAAAGTTCTTCAAGCTGTTCATTTGGAAAAAAGGGGAAAGACCTCTCATAGGTTGGTTGGTTTGTCTACCCTCAAAAGAATTTTCAAACTTTGGCAAAATAGAGCTTTAAACTGACAACAGTTTTGTTTGTTTGTTTGTTTTTCAATCCTTGATAATCAGGATGAGGATGACCAGTCTGGAATTTTAATTTGAACCTTTGCAGGGCTGGTTTGTGTGCTAAAATCCTTCCCTGGTTGTGTTGGAAAGCACAGAGCACACTACAAAGATGTTCTCTCAGAAGGAGGTTTATCTTATGGACACAGCATTATATGTCTGTTGTATTTCAAAGGGTGTTATAACAAAGATGTGTAGAGAAGATGGAATGTACAATAGGTTGCTTTGAATAGAAATAAAACCAAAAAGAGTCATGTTAGAGCAAATACACAGGACTTCAAAGCTTTTTAAACTCTCTTAGGAAGCGTCTAGTTTAAATGTATAATACATTGGAGGATTCTTATGAGCAATTCATATCCATAATACTCAGCAGGGTAATTCTACACATGACTGCAAAGTGAATGTTCATTTCAAATATTTACCAGGGAAGGTCTTTAAGCCATTGTTTATGAGAAATTGGGCTTTATCTGCATGGATGTTTTAGTAATTAGCTGGGTTTTATGGAATGCATGGCAGTGCTTTCACAATTTTATCTCTTGTTCCAATCTTCTATTCATTTGTGGAATGCCAAAACAACATCTGTATTTCCTGCTACAGAAATGATTGGCAGCCATGTTTCAGGCAAATGTGTGCAAGAAAAAACAAATGGCAAATTTCAGCTGGTAAATGACACTTACAGACTTGAAAGTCAAAATATTGGCTTTGAAAACCTATGATTTGATGGATTTTAGGCTTGCAGTTTCTTGGTTTATTGTGGGCTGTGGGGAAAAAGAGATTAGTCTTCGTTAACAATTAGAATAAGGAGTGTCTGTTACCAGGTTGAAGCTTTTCATGTCATTTGGGTTTTTCTTTTTGGAACAGAAGTCTGAATCTAAGTGGTTATTAGCATAAGTACATTGCAATATGGTGTTGGCTGGTGTGGCTAAAGTAAATGACAGAAACTACCTAAGAACATACAGAAAAGATAGTATGTGAAAGACAAAGGGATTGTGATAAATTAAATGCTCAAAACTATTAGGTTAATTTTTTTAAACACTGGAAGGTGTGCGGTGGGAAGTCTTTATTTTAATTTCTGCTAAAGGCTCTTTTTGAGGAATTATTGGACAACGACTTCCCAATGGGCTTTTGAGGAATCTGACAAATACTGGATCTAGATATGACCCGTATGAATCAAAATTTCATAGTTTTTGTAAAGCATTCCACACTGCCCCATGAAGGTACTGTTTTCCAGCTCTGGCTTTTTATGTCTCCACATCATTCCTTCTAGATTTTTGACCTCCCTCTCATCTCAGACAGTCATCTTGATGATCTCTTCTTGGATAACTCTTTGAAATGTTTTTGACTAAATTTATAGTTTTTAGAGCTTATTAGCTTACATGGATTATTCTTCTCAGACTTCAAAAATTCCTTTAAAAATGCCTCACTTCATTTCCAAAATTTCCAGCTTTCTGAAAACTAGCCCAGGAGCTCTGCTGCCCTGGTGGTTTTGTGCCAGCACTCAGCATTAGCGCTCTGGCACACTGTCTAGGCCTGTTTGAATATAAAAATAGCCAGGACTCAAGCTTGAATTGGAGCATGGCCTGCTCCTCTCCTACTGTCATTCCATTTCTTACTTGCAAGGAGTTAGTGTTTGCCAAAAGCAGCCCTTTTCCTGACCCTTTTTAATACTAGAGTCGGCAACTGGGACCAACACAATCTATAACTTGTGGTGCTGCCAAATAGTGTTCCACTTCTGTGATCCAGGATCAACATAGGAAGTCAGTAATAGTCCTTGCAAACAGCAAAGCTTTTTGCATGGGTTAAATCCATGTTTTGTGACTATGTGGTAGACATAACTTTTTTAAAAAGCTCTGATGTTGTAAAATGATTTTGCTTTATATTAGGATTCGGGGATTTTTTTTCTTTAAAATGGTAATCAGAAAAAGAAAACTTACCAATTACTTACTATGGGGGAGAAAAAGGGAAATGGATGCGAATATCTTCTGCTCTTTGGGGGGTAACATGATAAGCCATAAGATTTTGACACGCATTCATTCATGGTGTTTGTTCCCACATCAAGACAGCTCTCAAACTCAGGCACTTAAAAGCATGTTTGGATAGAAATGATTACTTCTTCCTCCATTTGGAGCCCTGACTACTAAGCTGGAATTCCGAAGATCTGGCCTTCCTCTGCCCATTGTCCCAAGAGAAATCCTCTTATGTTACTTCTCTCTCAGTTAAAACAAAGCTTTGTGCTCTGTTCTCAGGGCCGCCCTGAACTGACACCCACAGCAATAGCTGCAGGAAAACTGCTGGCTCGGCGTCTTTTTGGCCAGGCTTCAGAATTGATGGACTATGACAATGTGAGTTGTTATTTCTTCTTTCAATAATAAAACCTTATTTAATTTTTTTTCTTTTATAGAATTATATTTTGTCATCTGGAATCCTACTTTGACAGTAGGACAAATCAGATGGATGTGACAGGGCTATGCTTCTCACTCATGTAACAGTCTCCCCTGTATCTGCCATACTGCTGCTGCTTATGGTTCAACAGTAATGTTTTCTGTTGTTTCCTCACAAGCAGGTACCTACTACAGTTTTCACTCCCTTGGAATATGGTTGTGTTGGACTTTCAGAAGAAAAGGCTGTGCAATGTTATGGATCAGACAATATTGAGGTATGTTTAATTTTATAGAAGATGCCAGAGTTGTGTTATCAAGCAAAAAAATTTTGGTCCCCAAAATATTGTGTTTGCAGTTAGGGAGTTGATGTTTTCAGAAAATCTCAGGATTTAAGAGGTGTTACAACGTGTCACAATAATGGAATCTGATTGCAGTGAAATTAACTGCTGTTTTAACAAGTGATGTTGTGCATCATCATTAAATTATAAGTTATGTTGCTTTTAGCTGTTAGAAGCTCTAGGCAGGAAACTTAGTCAAAACTTTTTGGATGTCCCCAGAATTATTTGCACAATATTTTTGTTTGTTTGTTGGCTAAAATATCTTGATTTGATGTGCATAGGCATTGTATATTGAGGGAGACCTGTTATGGCATGTGTTCTCACCCGCTCCTCTGAGATGAGGGTATGAGGCTCATGGAAAGGAAATTCACAGTCACCCTTATAACACGCCAAAATTCAAATAAGTCATCTTTGAAAGGATATGCTGTGTTACTTTTATTCCCTCATCGTTAAAATTGTCAGGATATGGCTCAGTAATCTGGGGAAATACAATGTGCAGTAGTGTAATCGTAAGTCCCTTACTTCATGTTCAGTAAGTTGTTATTTCTTATTTCTATTATTCTGAATCATGGTGTGCGCTCTAAAATTTATCCTGAACTCATCTTGATTTCTGGATACTGATACCATTTATAATGCAGTCAGTTAAGAACACTTGTTCTTAACCTGATAAAGATGGGCAATTGATGTGTGGGGCACACATCATTGATGCTGCTGTGATATACAAATATGAAGAAAGTTTGGTTGATGAATTTATCCTGGAGCCCCTGGCAAAGCCATTAATAAAGAAAAATAAGCATTTACTCTGCAATGTGCAAAATTACAATGCAAGATGTCCTTGCATTATTCATGGTCAAAGATTTGGAAAGCTTCTCAGATTTCATTATTTTCCATTAGTGAGATATTACTTAAACTTTTGGTCATGAGATATGTAAAGCATCTGATCCAACATTATTCTGAATTTGGGACACTGACTTGAGGAGCCTGACGTACACACATATATATATATAGAGAGAGAGAGAGAGGGTTTTGTTTTTAATCTAGTAGTTTTCTAAAAGTTTTGTGTTGTACTCTCAATTGTACTTTCCATATGTCGCTTTACAATACCAAACAAACTATAAATAAATCTGTTTTTGTTTTTCCGTAATATAACAAATATGCAGTAATCTTAATCATTATAATAAAAATAGCTGTTTTCAACGTAATGGTATTCTCTAACACAAAATGTTGTTTTCTCTGCCAGGTATTCCACGCATATTATAAACCTTTAGAGTTTACAGTGGCTGAAAGAGATGCAACTCAATGCTATATAAAGGTGAGTGTTAAAACCTTCTAACTTGCTTTATCTGAAAAAAAAATGGTACAATGTCATTTAAGTAAGGCACATGAACAAGCATTAAACTTGGAGTTTAAATTCTAAGAGCATTTTTGTTTTGTTTTTCTGTTCTGTTCTTTCAGTGTTTAAAATACCATGTCAGGAGCCCTATTCTGGGGATTCCTGATGAATAAATCCACAGATTTTACTGAGTAGCAGAACCTGTGAGGTTAATGACTATTTAGTGTTTGATGGGAGGACACAGGGAGACTCTGACTTCCATTTTGTAGTGATAAAAATGCTGTCCTTAAAGAAAAAAATATTTCCTAGTGTTCTCTAACACAAACAAACGTGCGGTGATTCAGGACGTCACAGATTCATCTTCATCTTTGGCTGCTTCCAAGGGTTGACTCCCTTTTAGGCCATGCAGCTGATGTGGTAAATGTCTCACAAAATGTGCTAGCGTTCACACACTGAATTACAAAGGCACAGAAGGCCCTACAATTGGTAGTGACCATCTTTGAAAATACAGTTGATTAACTGCCGAGAATTCCTGTACAGGCTCAGGAAAGTGCTAAGGTGGCCCTTCAGCATCCAAATGATGTTAGTCAGATTACTGGACTACAGAGGACACTTTAAAGATTTCATACAAATAACAAATGATAAACTATTAAATATACCTCAAATTACTGTTTTTCAATGGCCCTCTGAAGTCTGAAAGAAATATGCTAATAAAGATTTGATCCAGGAAAGTGCTTAAGGACAAGCATAAGATCTATTGAAGTTGGTAAAATTTGGAAAAGTGCTCAAGTTCTTTGCCTGCTGGGTATGGACTGTTAAACTGGGATCTTAGGGCACTTCAGTTTCGTATGGTTCATCTTCGTGCCTTATCTTTAGATGCTCTGAGGAAAGCTCTCTAGCTGATGTATTGTTTTCAGATGGTGTGCTTACGAGAGAGAGAGCAGCGAATCCTCGGCCTTCATTTCATTGGACCAAATGCAGGTGAAGTTATTCAAGGATTTGCTCTTGGAATCAAGTAAGTACAAAAGAATGTCTCTAGCTTCTAAAGCCTGCTTTTTAAGTTATTGCAAGATTATAAAAGATAGCTGCATAGTTTTGGCAATGCTATAAAGAATCCATGCTTTTTGTTACTTTTATGTAGTATTGCACATATTTTCACTAAAAATGCTGCAGTTCTTCATTAAGATATACTGGATTTAGTTATAGTAATACTGGATATAATTAAGGAACAACTGAGGAAAATATAATGGTGGCTTGATGTTGTTAAAGTGAAAAATAAACTTACACATGCGCTTACTAAGGTTAGTTTTCTGAGAGAGAGGGGCTGCCTTCGCACTCTATCCACAGGATAAGTAATCACCATATAGCCTTTCAAGTCTCTTGTTTGAAAGGAAATTTGTGCTTTCCTTGAGAAGCTCTTTTTTTTTTTTTTTTTTTTTCCCCCTGCCAATAACTTTTCCTAATCTCATGTTCAAAGCCTTATCACCTTAAAAACCTCAGTAAGGACTCAGATGAATGTTTCTGGGGTATAAGCTAATCACTATATGATATGGGATGGAAGAAGAGCAGGTTCTTTACTCTGGAGCTTTCTTATCAATGCAATAATGTACTTACCCAAAGTAGATGAACTTTTGTGATGCTGTTCAAGAGTCTGTTCAAATATGAATATAGAATTGTGTTTCTCCTGACCTGTGTATTTCATGTCCTCCCTTTGAAGAAGTAAAGAATGATTCTGGATCCTTTCTGGTTAGATGCATCATTTCTGAAGTCTCTTTTGTGTGCTACAATTCTTTCTTACTTGTTTTATATTTCCCTTCTTGTATCTGATTCACATCTTCAGAAATGTTGATTCATGTGTATATATACATTACTAAGTTTTATTTTTAACTCGTCTTCGAAGAAAATAATCAATGGGATGCAAGAAACTTCCCCTGCTAGACTGTGGTGTCAGTTCATTGTCCTCAACATCGTCACAATTTTATTGTACTTCCAGTCTTATCTTGTGAGTGACTAGCACAAATGAAAAGCAGAAGGGATTAAGAAGGCAGGACCGCAAGTATCACGTGAGGAATATCTTAGGAATCACTGATTGCAGTATACCCTGAGTACACATTTTCAACATGTGTTTGTAGTCCATTAATTGCCAGTGGTATATATTCTAGAACTACATATTTTAGGATGTCATTGTTTTGAAGTTTTATCCAAAATAACCAATGAAAAGGAAGCCCATGAAACTGGAATGCTTTTCTGCCTTGCCTAAGGGAAATTAAAACTTCAGCCACAGTAAGAGGTTTTCAGCAGGTCAGATGCTTGTATTGGTTTCTATTGTATTTCACAAAACTAGAGTTTTGTGGAACACCCACTGTAAGTGTGAGCTTCTCGTCTTTTTGTTGAATATTAGGTCTAACTTCAATCCCTCCAAAGGGTGATTTTCCGTCTTCCCTTCCCATTTTGCACTCCAGTCACATCTGTGCTCAGCAGTGTTTTTCCCTTGTGATATTATTCTGAATGGAGGTGGGACACTAGAAGACCTGTGGCTCTCTTCCCTGTATTTTGCGGAGAGAAGGAACATCTTTCCATGCAGGACATGAAACGATTTCAAAAATTAGACTCCATTCAGGTATTCTTACAGAGTGACTGGCCAGGAATAGCAGCCCTAAGAAAAGTCACCAAGTATAAGAATGTTAGACCAGTAAAGGAATTAAGCACATGGAATTTTAGCTCAACCTCTTTTTTTTTTTTTTTTTTTTTTAAAGAGTAAATAGGAGACGAGTAGGCGATACACTTTTTTCTCTTAGCAATTGTTAACTTCAAACACCTGATTTCCCCTTAGTATCATACAGAAGTATTCTGGTATTACTTCAGATTCCTGCCTGCAGCCCTAAGTAAGATTTCTTTGTGCGTGTGTGTTTTTAAGCATGTGTGTGAAGCACGTATGCAAGTACAAGAAAAGCTGGAGGTTGCAGTTTTGTCATGTGTTTTTGCCCTAGGCTCATTTACAACCTTGGGCAAATTGCTTAATTAGCTCTGTGTCAACTCTTACAACAATTCTTCTCTACCTAAGAGTTGTGAAGTCAAGTATTTAAATACTTGTTGTGTAAGTATGTGAGAAATAATAGACAGCATTGTTTGAAAAATAACTTTAAGGCAACTCCTCTACCTGATAAAACAGACAAGAGCATGATTAATTTGATGCTTTAGGGCATTCTAGCAATTTTAGGTAAATAGTGGATGACACTGTGTTTTCTTTTTGGTTGTTTTGTGTGTGTGTGTATGTGGTTTTTGTTTGTTTTTGTAGATGTGGTGCTACCTATCGTCAACTAATGAAGACAATTGGCATTCACCCTACCTGTGCTGAAGAAATTACCAAGTTACATATTACAAAGCGTTCTGGCTTGGATGCAACAGTCACAGGTTGCTGAGGTTAAACACCATCCCTGGAAAGAAGGAAAAAGAGTACAAAACAGGAAAGAAAAGGGGCATTTTGACTTGAAACTATTTTAATGGTTGGCATTTGGGGCTAGATGAAGAAATAGTCCTCCCATCCTCATGGTTCTGGAACCGACACAGTTCTTCTGTAACACATCCCTCAGAGTTGTAATGATAGGTAAGCAGCCGTCTTTGCTTATGCTTTAAAATGTTCAGCATCTGATCAGGATCCTGATCACTGTGTTCAGGAATCTGATAGAAAATCAGTTATCACTGAAACTGCTGCTGCTGGATAAATTCCCTGGCAATGTGGCCATAACTTTATGGGGTGAAGGCTGACTGGTTTTTTTTTTTTTTAGTCAGAGGTGCTAAAGAAAGAGTTTCATATTATTGTGACTTCCCTTCCCTTCTCTTACTCTTGAAATTGCTAATTCATTTCTGTTTAAATTGAATTGGTGTGTCTCAAAATTACAGCTTGAATGCCACTTATTAAGCAATATTGACAAGTAGAATCAAAGCCACAAATATTCTAGCTCATATAGCTTTTTCTTTATGATAAAATGTGAAAATCTGCCTGATACAGCGATATTTTTTTTTCTTGCTTAATATATAGTCACTGATAACCTTGATGTCACTTTTAAATTGATTGAGATTTGGCTTTAATAAAATGCACTTTAACAAAGGGAACTATAGTTCGACATTAGAGAGGAAATGGTTCTGTTTTGAAAATAATTATTTGCAAATTCTTTCAGCATATTGGCCAGAGTAAGAAAGCATGTTTCTATTGCAAATTCTTGCTTATTTTTCTGCTAGCCAGAAGGGGGAGATGCTGGTTAATTTGTGACAATAAAAACCAAATTAGAAATCTTACAGTGAAGCTTTTCTTGAAGAACCCTGCTAAATACGTAGCCTGACAAAGGGAAAACCCAAAATAAGCTGCTTTGAATTTCAGTTTAAGTTGTAGTTGCCAATATCTTGGTAGGTATAGTCACTAAGATTTTGTACCCTTTACACTAGAATAACAGGTAGTATGGGAAAGGGAGAGGATATCTTTAGATAAAACACTTTTTCCCTGTTAATTTTTATCAGTGTTTCGGCAAGAGGAATTTGATGTTTTCTTAGCTATCCTGCTTACTGAAGTTTGGGAGGATGTTCTCATGACCATGTATTTCTTCGACATATTTTCTTTGACTGCTGCTTCACTGCAGGTTGCAATACAGACAAGCCTATTTTAAGGGGAAATATTTCTTACCACCAGAATTGTATCTGTCTTGAGAAACTGAGGAAAAAATGATCAGACATTAAAAGAGAAAAAGGGATATGATAGCATTTATCACACTCACTGATACAAAAATACTCTGTTTTCAAGGAATTTTTCTGATTTAGAACAAATAAAAAACTTAAATGCTTTCTCTCCAAAACTTCCTGATATTTTTTGTAAAAGTAGGAAGGAGTAATACAGTTTAAGTGCAAGGGGCATTCCCTATCAGATCTGCCAATACCCAAGATTTCAGAGCTGAAAAAAAAAATGTATGTGGATGAAAAGAATATTTGGAGTAGAAGTATAGTTGGAATGCTGCCCAATCATTGCTACTGCCTTTAGAAGAAATGGTATGAAAATTTTATATCGGCATGTGAATGTGTGCCTACCTGTCCACTCAGAAATTTCCTGTCTCCTTTAATAAAGGCCTGGGGATATAGTACATCCAGAAACCAGCTATAAAAAAAACAAAGTTCATAGTATTTTTTTTAACAGTGTGTCATTTTGTATTTCAGACACTGAGATCCTGAGAATCTAAATCTACAGGGATCTTGATATGAAAATAACGCCACCTCTGACTAAAATGCAATGTGTATAAGCATATAAGATTTCTTCTTTTTTTCGTGGGGATTCCCTCTCAGTTTCTCTTGCAGCCATGAATTAAAACACTGAGGCTCAGCCATGTGAAAGTGGCTGCATTGTCCTGTTGCCAATGTGTCCGACAGACTGAATTCTCTTCCACTACAGACAAATGAATGGGAAGATGAGTTTATTTCATTCATTGTAAAGCTGAAAAGAATGATATGAGAAACAAAATACATCTCTTGGAAAAGTGTCCTCAATGTATTTGGGGTGTGAAATTGATACAAGTCAGCATACTCTCATATAATGTCTTAGAATTGCTTTTGGTTTTGAAATTGGCTAAAATTGCTTTGTGGACTTAATGAGAATTGCTCTTATCTTGATTTGCAGCCTAGGTCTATTCCATATTTAACGCAAAATGTTGTTGCCCACTGAAGAACGAAGTGTCCATTCACACCTACATAACCATATTGTGAGGACAAGACAGAATAATGAAAACTACTGTTTGTGCTTTTTTTCCTTCTGTAACTCTCCAGGGATGGTCCTTAAGAATTCTTTTTTAAAGCCCAATTAATGTCTACTGAAATTGTGTGATGTACGCAGCAAATTACTGATGATTTGTAAAAGGTAAAAATAATTTTATTTGGGCTTCTCAGGATGCCAGCTGATGAGGGCTTGTTTGTCAAACCATACCATGGTGCAGACAAGTCTGAGACTTGCTGGGTCCCTCATACATGTGATCCCAATATTTATTGTGTTGTGATATGAATTAATAAAGACTATTTTTTCTAGTACGCATTTGATTTTTTTTTTAATTTTAATTTTGCCAATAGAGCTTTTGCTTACAAAATAATTCTTTATTGTTCCTAATGCTGTTTCTCTTGGTTGTGTTATGTATTAAGGAAAATTGAAATAGTAGCCAGACTGAGACCCCTTAAAACAAAAGTGTTAATATCTGTCTGTCTCTGTGACTCTCTGATGCCTAAACTGAATAACCACAGAGATTATTCCAGGCTGAATAACCTCCTCAACTATTTTAAATTAAGGGCATCCCTAGACTCAAGAATGGTGGTTTCAAATGCTCTCCTGTTTTTTTCCAGCTAGTGAGGTCTATCAGGTACGTTCACAGTCCATGTGTGTTGACATGCTTCTTGAAGACGCATCAAGAGGAAACTCCCTTGAAACACCTCACAGGCTGTGTATTATTCGGGGATTAAACTATTATACATTTAAATTTTCACTTTGGATTTTCAACTACAAAATACAGTAGAAAAAATGCATTACAGCAAAGCCAAGCAAAGGCAATGAAACAGCAAAACAGTAGGTATTGCTAAATAGAAAAGTTGGAAAAGGAAATGACTAGAAAAAAATTGTTTAAAAGCTCTCATAATTTTCTTGGTTAGAAGAGAAACAATTGTTTGAATTAATCTCCATTTCCTTTTATTAATTAAGTTCACTTTATGAGAAGTTCCCATTGTTAGATGATACTGAGTCAGCTTCTCAAATAGGCTAGTTTAACACGACCTCAGGATTTGTCACTGATGTGATTCTGAGTATTCTGAATATTGACTAGAATGCATTTAAAGACATTTTTATTTCTGCAGTGGCTAAAAACGCAGCAAGGTAAGCATCATTTTGATTATTCTCTTTCTCCCTATTTTCATATACCAATTAATGCTACAATAAAAAGGAACAGTACAAAGGAAAATTATTAACAGAGAAGCATATAAACACTAATATTTATAAATTGGAAAATTAATGTACTATATTATTTGGATTATAGCTAATAATAGCTTGTTCTCAATGCTAAGGTATTGTCTACAATTAAGTTTTGCCTTTTCCCATTTATGCATATGCTGAATGTAGTTTTATCTATTGGAAAATGTTTCTATTGTAAGTTATTCCATATCGCAGCTAGAGAAGGTATTTCACTCCTGCAAATGCATTGCATATATTGCAGGGTGGTGTTTGTCTTTACCAGCCAGAATAGCTGTGTTAGCAAAAAAAAAAAAAAAAAGACTTATATAGATCTCATGTGCTCAAAGTCTTCTCTTCAGAGGCTTATGCCTATGAAGTAGGTAACTTTCTGCCCATATGATTTGCCACGTGTCTAAATCCCAGTGAAATCTATGTACTCAAAGCTAATGTTAGCCCTTAATTTCAGTGGGATTCAAGCATGTGTCTCAGGTCCTTTGTTAAAGGGGAATCAATATAAGCATATGCCAAAATGCCTTTGGAATTACAGTTGGGGAACAGACTGCAATTATTATTCAAAACATAAAAGGTACAATAGGCATCTATGATTAGGCAATGAAATATGCCTTTAATAAGCATAGTGCAGACAGTTTGTTTTGCAATAAGTAAACTTGTATAAAATTCATTGACTTTTTCATTCTTTCAGGTTTGTGCGCTCTCTTTTAAGAGAGGTTTTTAGTTTTATGCACAAAGTTTTCCTGATGTTCTTCCAGCAGAAAGGCTGGTTTTGTGTGCATTTATTCTAGTGCCAAACTTAAATTTTACTGGGAAAGAACGAAACAGAAGAACAGACTTTTTTTTTTTCAGTTCATGAATTTAGTTTAGAAATGGAGTATTTCTGTCCACTGTTTGTCAAAAAGCTAATTATATTTCTGTTGTGGCACTCAAAGTCAATATTGTCAGCTCTTCTTAGTTTTAATCCTCTACACTGAATTTTGATGGGCCAGGTGAAATATCCCCTTCAGCACCTTATTGCAAGTCCTTGTCAATCATCTTGCCATGAGAAACACACATATTACAAAGGCTTTGGCAACACTACATCTGATTTCAGTCTTTAATCTTATACGCACCTTAAGAAAACACCATTCAAGCTACTGACGTTCTGTTCGGGACATGAATGGGATCCTACTCGCTGTGGGAAACAAAGTGATCTAATCCTTAATGGAAATAATGGAACTCTTAGGCCATCTCAGCATGAAAGTGTAATAGCAAACCACCAGTCTAGGGAGAACAAAATTAGAATGGTAAACAGTGTAGAAATTAAGAACAAAATAACTCACATGACTAAGAAAATGCCAGCGTCTCTCTCTCTCCATTTAGCATATGTAAAATATTTGGGTTTGAGCCCTTCTAGGTTTAGGAGAGTGTCTTCCCCACCTCAGCCCCTAGACTTTCTTTGCAAGGAGTGCTGTTCACTGAAGTCCATTTCATGACATCCAAGTACTCTGCATGCTGTTTTTTATTTTGTTTCTTATAGAC